CTTTACCACCAGAGCTGAGTTATAGCCAGAGCCACCAGGGTTGTGCTTACCATTCCTCGTCCACCCTGTCAGACCCTTCGCAACTCCCGAGGCCTCTGTTGCCGCCAGAGCTGGGTGCTCTAGCCTCAAACCCCGCTACTTCTGTGCTTTATTGAGAGGGGGAAAGAGAATTTCAGGGGATTTGAAGCTGGACACCTTTGCTTATGACTCCACTCAAGTACTCTCCACTTTCTCCTCCCCTCTACCCCATCCTTGTTGAGGGAAGGGGATTGGAGCTGTGGACTGATGAGGCCTTCTCCAGTGCACCCGGGCTTGAGAGCTGCGATTGCATGAACCTGCAGCAATTCAGGAATGTTTCAGCCAGCAGACACCACAGGGGCTGTATGTGTCCCATATCTAAAACAAAACCCTTTTGAAATGTTTCCAAGCCTCTTTTACTTGGAAAAATTTCAAAAGGTACTTCTGTTCACACCCTAAATATCAACTCATGATTTAGTTTTGGAAGATATGTAAATGAGCAGGTTATAAGGAAACATCAGTGTCCTGTGGAAGTCACAGCAGCAATCTGTGGCGCCACCGTGGTGAATCTGAACACTCATGCTCTCCTACTTCAGCCACTGCCACTGCTTCCTCTCCCTGCTGCTTGCTGCTGGCAGGAAGAATTGATGGCAATCAATGTTGGGGGGGCAGAGGGGAGAAGGGTGGAGAGAAACAGCAGCGGCTGAAGCAGAGGGTACAAAAGTGCCTGGCTTTCTATTGTAGGGAGGAAACCCAGAACTTTTGGCATATGCTGGTCTAGACATTATACAGTGCAGACAGGATGCACCTTTTGTACTAAACAAGCCAATATTGGTAGATTATTACCTTCATCTCAGCAGTTTGAGGTTAATGCTGGCTAGTTATCAGAGGTAGTTATCAGTATGCTAAATTAAAAACCCAACAGCCCCCTCCCCGCCAAAATGTGTATTCATTGTAATGCCACCTGAACGATATCTAACACAAGGAGACTCAAGCACAATAGCTCCACAGTCACCGGCAGCAACTTACAGCAATCTCAGGACAGTTTACACAGATAGATTTACCCTAGTCCATAGAGTCATCCCTTGCAAAAAAGAAGATGGTTGTTATTCAATCAAATAATGCCCCCCTGCCACTTGAAAGTCATTCCTTGTGTCTCTGAAATATCGTGAACGTTGTGATCAGACTTACTGAATTTTTAAAGAATGGAAAGATGGACTTTTTCATTTCATGGCATACGCTATTAGGAGAATCAGTAGGGATTGCAATTGTGGTTTAGGAGATATGGGAAAGACTCCTTGACACTTTTGTGTATGTGTAACTAAACAAAGGCTAATCATGACTTGGTTAGCCTTAGCCTAAAGATTTTAATGGATGAGATTTTCAAAGGTCTTTTAATGGAAAATACATGTCCAAGTCACTTAACTAGGCCCTTCTTTAGAAAATATCATCCTACTCCTTTACGACAGTTCAGCTCTATTAACAAAGATAAACATAATGAACATGAACAAACACAATAGATAAGAAATAGAACCTGTCAGAACTTCAGTGTTTTCTTTTAATTTCCTTTGGCCACATTAGAGAGAATTAGATTTCTAAGTGTCCCCTACGTGGTTAATGACAAAATGATACTGACAATCCATTAGTCGTATATTTGACTTTGACATTAGTATACAGAGTTGTTGATAAATCCATGATACCAAATAACAGCCACACTATAATGTCCTGTCTAGTTACATAGAATTAGCCATTCTGATTGAGGTGGAAGCTTGTGGTATAACATAATGTCAATCTAATGTTTGGATGTCAAGACAGAATAGACAGGTCTAATATACTGAGGGAAGGCTTCCTTCCTCCTCCACCACTCTCTATTTTTCTACCACTTAGCAAAGACTTTAGGGAGTTACTGAAGATAAGAACTTCTGGTTTTGTTTTGTCTGTTCCCAATAAAATTATTTTGTACTACCCTCTTGAATCAAAAGAGACCCACACAATGGCTAAAATAGTTAGCCTAGCTATCTGTTAACACACAGTGAAGTCCATGGAGTTACAGTAATGCAAAATTACTGAACTTGGTAGGACTATAAAGATATACATCATTGGCAAAACAGAAGAGCATTCCATAGAGATCAACTCAGGGTTTGAACTTCAGTCTGCTCCCTTTTATTTTTAGCCCTTAGGTATAGCCTTGCATGTCCTCCAGTCTTCTATCTTGCTGCCAAGCACTGATGTACAGCTATTACATAAAGGATAGAGTTTTATTTCACAGAATAAGGTCTCAAAGAATGAGGTCACATGTAAACTCTGATATTAATGTTGAGTTTTATTTTGCTTCCAGAGCCAATTCAAGCTCTACATCCTTGGCTTCAAGGCTTGAACTTTTTTATTGCCACTCTCTTTTCCTCTCTTTCATGTTACACTAACCCTCCTTCCAAGAAATTGTCACTTTGACTCCTCCCTCTCACATAATTTTTGCTGTCTTCTATGATATTACCAGGCTTGACTTCCCTCCTTTTTATGTTTGGCAAACAACCTGTCTCTCCACAAATTAGCATTTTAATAAATTGTCATATTACACCAAGTTACTCCAAGTTCCTTAAAGTTACATTTTACAGAAATTCATACAATGGGTTCTCATGAATTTTAAGCTCAGCTGCCAGTCAAACTGTAGATATAAACAGGGGAGCCAAACCAATTCCTAGGCAGATGAAATACTAAAAGTAACAGTACCTCTTCACCAAATTATTGCTCCTGGGTGCATGTTTACATGCAGCCTGGGACTGGTGAGCTGGTTTGAAGCAGTAGACATGCAACATTTACTAAGCAATAAACATTTTGTATGCAATCACCCAATTTGTACTATATATAAGTAGGTACAAAAGTGCTGCTTAGAAGTCTGTTTGTGGAGTACTTTCAGCAGTTTCAAAAAAGGTAAAATGAATCAATTTTGGATGAACTACATCTATGTGTGCCTATAGTAATTTTCATATGCTTATTTCAAGGTTAGTTTTTTCAGATTTGCCCCTCACTTCCATGTACTTAGGGAGATCATGGTCTGGCAGGGAGGAGGGGGTAAGGAACTGCAATAGGAAGAAGTTGGGGTGCAGAGGGTATGGGGGCTACCTGACCCCCAGATTTATTTTCCCTGCTGTAGCAGCAGGAGGGGGACAAATTCAAGAAAACCTCTAATAATTAGATTCTATACCTGGAAAATTATAACAAATTTATAAATTTTCCATATATAGACTCTAATTATTGGGGCACCGTCTTATATTTGGGGCCATCATATTCAAGCAACTACAGTACCTTCAATGGAAGTGAAGTGCCCTCAGAATTTCACAGGATCAGTCTAATCTGAAGGGCTGAGGCCAGAATTAGAGGGGTTCAGTGTTGTATGATGATAAGCATTGACCAGAGAAACTTCTATTCGGTGTAGAAAAACGTGCACAACAGTGACAACATCAATAAAACCCTTTGATAGCAATGAACTAAGCAGGAAGAGCTCTAGTAAAGTGATGCGTCTAAAATAGGTAGTTATTTGGGTACTGGTTTAAATGGGACCTGTAGATACAAACATTATGTATTTTTCAAAATAATACTACCAATATGTATTTTTAGAATACATACCAAATACAATATATATTTTTAGAAATATGTGCTACCAACCAAAAGCAGTAGCTTACCTGAGTGACAGAAATGCATTTAAGTGTTGTTTGACAGTAATATCTTGGCTCCCTTGTTCACCTACTACATATGAGGTGCACAGTAATCTTCACAATTTAACAGCTAGGAGTTTTCACTCCCTCAATTTATTTTGTCCTATCAACTTGTATGCAGTAGATGCAGAAATTCAGTAGTTTTACTGGTGACTCAAGGTTATTACAGCACTCTCACCCAACACACTGCAGGGCCCTGAAAGGCACTCTTACCTCCTCCAAAACTGAGGGTTCTAAGTCTGCAGTGCAATCTCCAGCTCTAAATATATAATATTTGTGTTATGGTACAACACCAGGTCAGCATAATGTGGTCATGTTTTAAAAGCCTAAACATTTTGTTGGTCTAACAATGGTCTCTAGGCAATATTAAAAAAGAAAAATGAAGCGTTTAGCAGCGTAGAATGTAGAGTTGGTTAATTCAGGAAGCCCTTAATAAATTTTAATGCATCACTCTTGACTCCATATTTGAGAGGCCATTGTTGTCAATGATATTCATCTAGTTATTTATATAATGTTAATGCTGCATGTTCAGACCTTGCCAAGAATAGTAACCACGTGAATGGTTTGGGGAAGTGTTTACCTACAAACTACCAATAATCGTTAAAACACTCGTAAAATGTCATGTATCAATTAATGTTACACTGGTTTGGGTAATACTTGTGGAAAACTAAAACTACTTTTAAATTTAAATGTAATTATAACTTTGTATTTCAGTTTTCATGTTATGTGTCTCTTTAATGCTCATCATTCTGGTCTTGCTCCCTTGGGTGACATCTTGAACAAACTTACCGTTGGCTTCCACTAAGCCAGGATTTCAGCCTAGCCTTAAAGTTTTGTTCTCTTCTTTTTGAAGCATCTGTCTTTTCCTTTTTCCTCCACTGTTCCTTTAGTTTCCAGGCTTGCTTATTCAAATTTTGTTTAACATTCAATATTCAATTTACTTAATTTTTTTCATTTTTTTTTCTTATTCCAAATCCTTGGTTTGTACATTGTACTTCATCTTGCCATTTTGTTTCATTTTTCTCACTTTCTCTTTCTCATCTCCAGTTTCCCTACTGTTTTCACTATTTTATGTTCTATTTTTTCTGTCTCCTAAACCAATACTTATTCTTTGCTTTTGTTTGCTATATCTACCTTTCTTTTTCTCTCTTTCCCAAAATATAGCTCATCATCCTCTGCCACTAGCATGCAGCAGATTCTGAAATATTGTCATCTGAGACAGTTAAGTACTAAACAAAACATTACCAGGGTGAAGGAATCACTTACCCTGATTGACAACAAATCGTAACTTCTGTATTGTTGCCAGATTGCCGCTGACTCTGTATATTCCATCAACATCCAGACCTGAAAAAGGAAAACATATTTCATATTGGCTCATGTGAGTATTTTACTTGAGATGTCTGTCAAGAAACCATGAATGTCCTAACAAATATAGGGAAGAATACTATAGTGAACAACCAGATAATAATCCACCTGACAAAGACTAGAAGCATATGATGACTCCTGCCTGATTAAAACAACAAAGAAAAAAATTGTAGATTAATTCAATTGAACCCAAGATATCTAATTATAATGCTCTAGTAATTCTATTAGAAGGCATGCAGTATAAGCAGAGACATTCCAATTAGATGGGAAAAGATGGTGCAGTATTGGCTTGTGTGTTCTCACACAGCCTCTGTAGGATAGAATATCAGACTTGGTTAAGTGTATATTAATTATTTACATTAACTGGGCTTGAAGAGGTTTTCAGGTAGAGACTCAGGTTTTTTTCAGCTGAAGGTCATGAATTGCATTTCTGGTATTGTGTGGAAACTGTTAGACGATTGCCATGTAATTAAGATACATGTAAGACGATGTTTGTATCAGTTATTAATACAGTTCTACTATGATTTGGTTTTGCATCACATCAATTGTGTTTGAAGATGGCGTGCTATGATATCCTAAATAGCTTGTGCTCTGGAGTTTATTACTGCAATAATAAAGGCCAGCCAAATACATTTACAAGGACAACGAAATACTCCCATTCCTCTGTTATGTCTGCTCAGGTATCTTTTTCTGGGTGAAGCTATTTGGCACATTCCTTATAATGACATACTATCTATTTCCTACAGTAGACAGGACTGTAGGTTGATATGTCTATAGGCATTCTTATAATTCAAGGTGAATTTCTGAAGCATAGTCCAAGCAGTAGAAGGAATGTGTATGCTCAAAATTATAAAACCCCAAAATGTAAATTGCAATTTGAAATTTAAAAGTGGTAGGTCAAGAAGGCAAAGAGCATTTGCTCCAAAATGGGCTTTTTCACTTGGAATCTGATCATGTACCATTGGAAGAAACATTTTTGTTGGGAAACGCTGTGATTTGTCAAAATCAAAACTTCACAGGAAATATATTAATTTCCATAAACTTTTAAAGGGAAGGTTTTTCAGGTTCCAGGAGAAATTTCTTTCCAAAATCAGAGGGAGAAGGCCTGAAAAACCAAGACTTCAATAATTAGGACATTTGCCTAGTATGAATGAGGATTCTGAATCAGATGCATATTGGTCTCTCTCATCTCCCAAGGAAATGCCCTAAATAACCACTGAGCTAAACTGGGGTTTCTTTCTCCCAGAAAAAATTCCAAAGGTCTAGTTTCGCTTTCAATGTAGAGTGAAAACAACTGTTGAAACATCAAAATTTTGAATTTTTTTCACAAAAAAGGAATTCTTGTTTTCTAGCTAGCTGTACAAGAAACATCTTGATTCGATTTACATAAGAGTTGCTTTAAATTGGAATAATCATTGTGTAATATACCTTGGTTATAAATGCTTTTTATATCAATCTATATCATTTTCTGCTCTGCACCTGTGGGTTGCCATGAAAGCTAATACTGAAAATGATGTTTCATTTCAGGAAGATCCCCTTTGGTTACAGGGGACTAAAATGAAAGTTTATCTAAGAGAAATCAAAAAGGATTTGGTAATCAAGAATACTTGGAATCTATCCATGTGCTGGATACATAACATATGAGCAAATGGAAGTCACTGAAATGTTTAAGTAATGCAACTCTATCCTAAAGCCTAACAGTCTTACCCTCTCTTAGCTAGGGGGGAGTGAGACAGCAAGAGTAATCCCTAGTTTAGGAATGTGGAACTCTTGTGGTCAGAGGTTCAGACTTCCAGCAAGCTAAATGACATGTGAGTTGATCTAAACCAGAAAGTAAAAGGAAAAAAGAAGAACCAACCAACAAACAAACAAACAAACTGATGTTAAAAGATTAATGTCAGTTTGCATTCAGATTAATTCAATTCTCAGTCCTTTGAGACACGGGGCATGTCAAAACTACACATGTAAGCTTTCTTCATGATAACAATCTCTCACATTAGCAGCACCATTTTGAAATACCTCAGCCCATTGATTTAAATCATGCTATCTCAATGATCTATAGCAAGTGAAAATGAAAAACTATTGAGCAAACTGAAGGATGTTACATCTTGCAAAATGATATGTAAAATATAAGTGAATTATTATTGTTCTAAACTGACTTAGGTCAGAAATAGGGTCTGATTACCATTTCATTTTGATACTATACAATATGGCAGACAGCAGAAAAAACCCTAAGAGTGTTACGTCAATCATAGAATTCACATGCCATCAACTTTGTCTCAAAATATTTAAAAATTAAGCCAGACCAAACCAATGTAAATTGGTAGATGTGGACATCCTTTTCATGACCGACTTATCCTAGCTGGATTGTAAACTACTTATTTTGGAACTCCAATTTGGCCAAGAATAATTTTAAGAAAGAGAGATAGCCTCAAGGTTCCAATATTTTGATTCTGTGAACAATTTTCAAAGAAATTCACTTTTAAGGGCACCTTTATATCAAGAATAAAAACAGCTCTGCTCTGCTGTCAGTGTTTCTTCACAGCAGGATATAAATACTTAGGGAACAAGATGAAACAAAAGTCTTTTCAAAGTTTTCTATCTACTGCTGACATTAAAGTATAGTGGTAGAGAACATTTCAGTAAAGAAAATATTTATTATAATAAAGTCTGAGTATTTGTTCATTATATGCTGACCTTCTCATGTTTTAAAATGGTGTTTATCACTGAGATAAATCACTGATTTTTCCCCCCTAGAGGATAACAACTCTTTTTTTTTCTTTTCAGGAAGCTTAGAATAGGATGGATTCACAATTAGGAATGATCGACTAAATGGTAGTTAAAACTCAGTGGAAAGAATGCAGCTGTCCCAAGTTATTCCCACCATAAATCTTATGAGCTTTCCAGAATGAAATCTAGGATAAGGACAGACTCCAGAATATACTTGTTTATCTGCCAAAATATGAGCAGTGTGTAACATTGCTTGTGCTAAAAGCAGTCATATATCATGGTTTAGGATATACTGAAATTACTGGTGAGAAAACTAAAAGGAAACAGAATTCAGGTTCAGTTGACATACATAACATCATCAAAAGTTACCTGAATTGCTCTGCATAACTAGGTTGAAGCTCTCATAAGAACATGCTACCTTATGAGATATTTAGTGCTCGGTTTCTAGCTGAGTTTAGAATTTCCAAAAATAGCTTTTCTTGCTTTACTATGGCACTTCTAGTTCCAGATGAAATCTGGAAGTGCAGAGGACAAGTAAAACAAAGGAAAGCTACAAAGGACACAGTTATGCAGATATTGCAAAACTCGGTCAGTTTGAGTTTTATATTAGAGACTATAAATGTTCAGGACAGTTCTTATGGTTTCTTTGAATAGGGTAATCTATTTCTATTTGAAACAGGAGTTCTCATTAATAACATGTATTCTAGGGAAGTGTAAGATCCTGCCCTATCTTATACCTATGAAACTCCATATTTTTCTCATGTTTAATAGCACTAATTGGACCTGGCTTGGTATCCTGAGACATGTCACTTGTGATATTTTCCGAAAACTGAATATTTTGGAAAATTTCTTTTTTTTTCCTTCTTTTTAAAATTTGCATCCACTTTTCTACTCTTTTCTCATTTACAATTTTTTAGAAAGATCACTCTTTCATTACTTAGTACTTGATAAATTTCTAAGTATGGCGCTCTTAAAAGTTTAACAATAGCTGTTTACTGAAAAAGGTACAGAATTAAGATGTGTAGACCATTAAACAAAAAGAAGCACAACAAAAAATAAAGTGCACATGTGAAGAAATCCATTTTTAGTTAGTCCTTTTGTTTAAAATTAGTCATGTTTCGGGCAAAAGATACTGTATTTCAAAGAAGCCTATTATGCTTCCCCATAAACAAAAAGATCATATGTTTTAAAACTAAAGTATCATTATGTAATCACGCTGTTGTATTATAAACTATTTTGAGGGCTCAGATACCCAGGGCTATCTTTACAAATATTTGAGAGAGCATAAACAGGGTATATGTCCCTAAGCTGTAATGTTTTTTTTTCTCTTGTTTTTCTCTCTATTTTACCAATAGATTATTAAACCCATTTTAAAAAAATGTCATGGAGCACAAAAAGTCCGATATGAAGCCATTAAAAGGAGCAGACATTTGAGAATATACCAATTGCATTGTAATGCATATGGCAAGAAAAATGCCTCAGAAACAACTTAGCCATCTCACAAAAACAGAAGTCAAGGTTATCTGCAATCTTCCTTTGCCAAGATAAAGATAATTACGTTTTCCATATATAACCCAAATCAAGATGACCTTAAATTCAAGATGATCCCCCAAAATTAGATTCCAAATATGGAAAGTTTATATATTTTTTATGCATAGCATCTCATTATTGGAGGATTGTCTTAAATTTGCCCCCACCCCCACTACATGTGGTGGGGAGACAAGCAAAGAAGAGGGCAATAAGAAAGCAGGCAGTAGAGGGATAGTGGGGGACAGGTGGTAAGGATGCAGTAGAGCAGACAGTGGGAAGGCAAGCAGCTTGCCCCCCTGCCTGTCCCCCACCCAATATCCTCCCTTGTGCTTGCCCCCTAGAGCCTGAGGCCCCAACCCTCCTTTTCCCCATCTTCCCTTCCCCTGAAACCTTTGCTCCTACTTGCACCTTCCCCCACTTACCTTTACTCCATGCCAGCAGGCTCTGTCCATGTTGAACCCTGAGGAGCACAAGAGCACAGCTGCAGCCAGGTGCTGTAGCAGTGATGCAGAACCAGCACTGCTGCCATGGGGCTGGGCTGGGGCTGTGCTCCATGCTCCAGGCTGCAGTACAGATGGAGCCTGCCTGCACCAAAGCAAAAGTAAGTGGTGGGGGGTAAGAGGGTAGAAGCAGTGTTGAAGGGAGATGGGGAGGGGGGGCAGGGACTCAAGGCTGCAGAGTAAGGGCAGGGGAAAAGTAGGGGGTGCAGAGATGGCATG